ATGCATATGAAACCACAATGAAGTCACCAAGGACTGTGGTGTTAAAGTCTGTTGCTATGGAGAGGACTTGAGGTAGAGAGATACCTTTTGCTGAGCTACCAAGACTGCTGAAGACAGGAAAAAACAGAATTCTGTTCAAAATACTTAAACTGGTCATTTACAGAAATAATTCTGTTAAAGATTAGTCACCGGATACCACCAAGTCTCACCAAAGCCAGCTGGAGTTCTATCTGGCTGTACCAACTATATTCAAACCATAAAGCTTCTTCTGAAGCTGCTTTCCTGCAAATATCTAAGATTATGGGTCCATCATGTGAACTGTTCTCCCATCCTATATTGTACTTCTGTAGAGCAGGAATTCTTGAATAGCCACATACAAACAGATTTGCAAGTCCAGATTCCCCCTTCCTGAGAACACTGTTGCTTTGCTTACTGTTAGGGATTCTACTTCATGCTACTCACCACCGTAAGACAAAAACACATTCCCAGAAAGAGATGGGAAGAGGCTGCACAGAATATGGAAGCTGTTCACAACATATAACATAATAGAAGCAAGCTTAAGTTTGTAGGAAGACATAGTATGTTTTATTATATATGCCCTCAGGAAAACTTACACATTTTCAAGAATACCAGCTCTTCTGTATCAAAACTTCAGGTTTATGTATCCAAAAGTTGGTCAGTCTTCCCAAAGGTTGCCCTAATAAATTATGTTATCCACTAAACCTGACACAGTAACAGGCACTGTCAAAGCTGATGAGTCTTAAAGGTGTACCAGCCGGAAACACTGCCAGAAGGGATAACTGTCTTCTATCAAGGCCAACTGCCAGAATTGGCAGTTTTCTATCGCTTTGAAACACTATATTCTTGAGATAGTGGTGCTTCTATCACAGATGGCTTTTGCAATGCTCTATTAAGACTTTCAATCATGAACTTTGATACAACAATCACAAGTGTGAATATGTACAACAGCAAAGCTGCTGTTCACCCACAGCCCTCCTGCCTCTGAAACAAGTCCATGAAAGATCATTGAGTAATTCTGCATTCAGTACACATTCTGACATCCTCACCTGGTTTCCCTGAACCTTTGTTTTATCAAGGCTGAATTAATACAAATAAACACGTATCTAACGTACACATCCATGAAACAGCAACAGCCTGGATATCTCAGCACCACTTCCATGTTTATCTTCACAAGGCAGAACAATTTAAAATCAGATAGAAAAATGCTATCAATGCACCAGCGCAGCATACACACAATCAAAGTCCAACAGATCCCATCAAGCACTTTATTTTAAATACTTAAAAGCATTCATTTGCAAACAGTGGATATAGAAGAGAACATCCCAGCTGCATCACGTCACGTCTTAGATGTAAATTAAAGGGCTTTTCCATGTAAACAGGGACTAGTTTTAGGGATCCAACACAGCACAACGAACTCTTCCTGTTTCAACAACTCTGTAAAGCACATACAGATTTATACTCTGCACTTGCCAGGACACTCATAGTTTTTGCAAACATTCAAGAGTGTCTCAAAATTCAACCCATTTCCAATGAAAATCTAGGAAAAAAAGATTAGTCATTGCTATGGGAAGCCAGGAAATAACGACATAGCCAAAGGGAGCAGAATGAACTTTAACGAAGCCTAAGAACGGGGGCTGAGGCTCCTGTAGGATCACAGCTAGGTACAAGCAGAGGGGTACAGCTACCTCCAGGGACTGCCAAAACACGGTTGCAGAAACGCCCGCGGTGCCCACGATGCCGGACTCGTACCGGTTGCAAAGCCGGTCCAGGAAGCGGCGGCTGCCCCCGGCTTCCCCCGCACTCACTTCTGTCCGGCCGCTCGCGCCGTGGAAGAGCACGGTGAGGAGCGCCCAGCCCGGCCCCATTCCTCCGCCGAGTGCAGAGCAGCGGTCGGCTACAGGGACCTTGGTCCAGGCTGTCTCGGTCCCGGCACCGCCCCGCGGCAGGAGGGAGCAGCGCCACGCTCAGGTTACGCAGCGGAGCTGCGAGCTGGCCGAACAGAAAAGGAACTCCCGGCGGCTGTCTAGAGATTCCCGACCGTGGGGGGTCTCTTCAGCCGCGGGGGTGCTCCATTAGCGCCCGAATCCGAGCTCACTCGTTACAGTGTCCCAGCGTTCACTGGTACCCACTGCAGCACGTCTTCTCATGCCTGCTGCAGGGATGGTACAGAGAGACTTCAGTGTCAATTCAGCCCTCTCTGCTCTTGAGAAGCATTCCAGTTGACTAATAGCCTGAATGGCTCTCTTGCAGAACAAGTGTTCTTTTCTGCAACTGATACATACGCTGAAATTATCAACATCAAAACATTTATATATCAGACAAAAAGTGTGGCTGTGTCTTAAAATCCACCTAATTTTTAATTCACAGATTGCCAGCGTTACTAACCCAACCAACTATAATACATCTAGCAGGTTGCAGCGCGTATGATTCACCTAGAAAGCTGTTCCAGTAAAAAAGATTTCTTTATATACAGTTAAAATATCAGATCATAAGTTGGTTTGGGACCGTAAAGCTCATCCAGTTCCAACAGGAGGGAAACCTTTCACTAGAGCAGGTTGCTCCAAGCCCTGTCCAACCTGGCCTTGAACACTGCCAGGGATGGGGCAGCCACAGTTTCTCAGGGCAACCTGGTCCAGCAGTTGTTGTTACAGAACACCCTCTAACCATCATGGCCAGGTGAACAGAGTCATTCACAGTACACAAATTGGTGTTGTCTAAAATGAAACAGAAATGCCTGTGTTTTTCTAGAATAAAGTGTGTGACTGGAAAACAATGAACAACCTTGACTGAAAGTGAAGGAAGAGGTTCAGTATTTGTCCCACTCAGTTCTTTCCTCTTCCTTGCATTGCTGTTTTATGACACAGCTCGGTGACTTGGCTTTCTGTTGCACAACAAGCACTTAAACCAAAAAATGTGAATTCTATTTCTTTCTTCACCCCATGTAACTGTCGCTGACAGGCAATACTGATAGCCAAAAGACATTTCAATCTGAGCATTAGGAGCAGCTTATTTTCTGAAAGAAAACAAGCAGATATAAACACAGAAGTACACAGAAAGAATTCAGTTATTGCCTCTTGCACAAGATTTGGGACATAAACTAAAATATACAGTGGCAGTAGTTATTTTTAGAAATTATTTTATATTCTAGACTTGCACAGAAGAGTGGAATTCAAGAAGACTGAAATTAGCAACACTTGAAATTACACCATGCTCAAATGTACTATAGGTAGATTGTCCACTGATGGAAGTCAGTGGCTTGGTCCCATAATGCTGAGATTCTCCTACCGCATCTCTGGGGCTGTGGTTCCAGAAAAGTAGGAATTTCTCTGGATTTACTTCTTCAGTCACAAAATCTTAATAACATACCTTGCCTTATAGTGTGAGGCTTACTGGCTACACAAGATCCAGTGGACCTACTACATGGGTTTTCAAAAAGCCTTTGATGAGGTTCCACACCTAAGGTTATAGAAGACCAAAGCTGTCACAGGATTGGAGGAAAGGTCAGTTTGTGGATTTACTAAAAGGTAACAGGATACAGAAGTTACGGCTGTTGAAAAGGTAGGAAAGAAAGAGCACAGCATAATGTTCATTTTTCAGGGTAGAAAACAGTTTGCGGGGGGGATTGGTGGGGCCAGTTCCATTCAGTATCTTCATCAATGATCTGGAGAAAAGAGCACCTACATAGAAAAAGCAATACTAAACTTCTCCAGGGAGTTACATGACAAGGGAAACAAAGACAGAGCTCATAAAAAGGTGGCAAATCAGCTTCTCATAGATAAACACAGGGCAATACATCTAGGGAAAAGTCATTTAACCCAGGCATACATGGTACATTCACATCTAGCAGCTACCAGAGGAGCCATCCTGGAGGCATGCTTGACAGTTCTCTGAGATCATCTGCTTAGTGTGCAGGGGTAGACAAAAGAACACAAACAAAATGGTGGGCGTCATCCAGAGAGGCACCAATAACAAAACAGTTTGGCACCATGTAAAACCTTGGCCTACCCCTCTTCAGTACAGTGTGCGCTTCTGGCCTCCAGGTGTCCAGAAGAATATAGTGACATTAGGGAAGATGTGGAACAGGTCAACTAAAATGACCAAGGCAGTGGAACATCCAGCTTACGTGAGAAATATAAAAAGGTGGGAACTCAGCTTGGAGGCTCAGGAGGATTCAGTCAACATTTATAAAAGCACCTAAGTATTGCACAAAATTCTGCAATACAAAAAATAGTGGCACTCACTGAACTAAGCAAGACATCGGTTTTAAAGTGGTAGAAGTACTTCTTTATGCAGTGCATGGTAAAGAAGCAGTCTTTAGTCTGTTGCCACAAGTGCTCCTGGAGGCAGATTGAACCAGGAAATTCAAAAGAGAGAAGAAAAACTAATACGCAATATGAATGAATGCTAAAGACTGGGACAAACTCTTCAGCATTCTTAATCCAATTACAATGGATGTTGTTGGAACTCAGAAATGTGAACAACAGATATTAACCAGGCTTGTGTGCTCTTCCTAATTAGCATCTCCTTACCATGACTGTTAGGGATAAAACGCTTGGCTTCTACTATCAGACTGCCCCAAGGTGGTTTTTATGCTCTTAAGGTTCCTTTTCGTGTGTTCTAGGACAGAAGTTGTGCAGTTGCACAGCTGTTAACCACAGTACGCTGGCCAGGGTGAAACTACAAAGCAAATAATTGTTTTTGTGATTCTTTTTTTTTTTTGACTATTAAGGCACACTTTGTCATCTCATTCATTTTTCCATTGTCCTATGCAAAAACACAGCACTATTATATTTGCAGTTAACAAACAAGCAGTGTGAAAGATTGAGAAATAGCATAACACAAGCCAGTTGACCATGAAACAGATCTATTTTTAAAGATTAGATATGCAAATCAGTTTTACCCTGATGATTATGAGCAATTCTAAAACGAGATATTAACAATGTCATAGGAAACTACTGCTGTGCCTGTTTTTTCAGTCCTTTTTTTGTAGAAAAATAGTTTTATTTTCTTCATTTCCCTTTTTATAGCCTCCACACTGGCCCAAATCCACAGTTCATCCAACATCCAAATGTTCAGCCAGTTTGGCTTCCATCCAAGGAGGCCATTTTGTACACTTAATTGATGATGTGAAGTAATTAAAAGACATGACTCAGAACACAAGGCCAAGAAAGAGTGGCCTAAAGGCTTATTTGCCTTCTGTTTTCTAGGTCTGCGTGGCATCTTTTGATCCTATTTCCTCAAGAAACATAAAGTCCACAAACTTAAGAGTTCTGTTTGTGGGAAAACTGTTAGGGAAAACTGAAATTGTCATTACTTTCAGTCAAGATTTGAGACTTTAAGAAAAATAACAGATGTTGCAAAATACAAGCCAAAATTAAAAGTACTGACCATACTGGAATAGAAACAACACATGAAACATGTCCGAATCTCAAGCTTAACTCAGAATTCTGGCTAGAATTTCCATAGCTAATAGAACTAATCAGATATAGATTTCAATCCATTCCTTCATGCAGAGAAAACAAGCTGTGAAACTTGAGTTGGCATCCAGATGTCTTCCGAATTTTGTAGCTTTGATCCATATTTGTTTCCAGTGTGATACTGGGAGAGAGGGAAAGAGAAATACTTGATGTCAGATATGAAGACCAACAGCTTGGATGATCCCTTAGTTTGTTTGATGAAGTAGGTTCTAGCACTCCTCATGTGAATGTATTGCAGTGCATTATATGGGTTTTCAGGTAATCTAAGGCGCTATGTGTTTACCTCCCTTCTAGATTCAGGCTTAGTGTCGCACTGTAACTTCACACATCTTCTCAGTGGGTTATCTATCACTTCTCAGTGGCAGTGGTGGGGTGATGAAATTCCTTTCCCTCCTCTTCCACAGGAACCATGACATCATTCCATGGAAAAGACTCTGTTTCCTGCTCTGGATAGTGCATTGCTAGTTCCTCTTCCATGTTTTCCTGGCCATAAACATTACTTTCACATTCTCTAGCCGTACAGTTCTTGCCACTAGGCACTTCTGAAATGGACCCCACAATAACAGTGTCAGCTTTCATGATGTATATTTTTTCTGAGGAAGGAAAAAAATAGTGCTGAGCGTAGTTAACAATCACTGCTGACCCTAGAGATGGTTCCATTTCATGCAAACTTATATTTGGTTCATAGATTTTCTTCCCCCCCCCCCCCCCCCCTTCTTTTTTTAATCAGAAGCCTGCAGAGCAAGCCCATCACTGTGAAAACACGTAATTCACTAACCCACTGATGTTTTTGGGATTTGCACATTATAAGTTGTCTACTTTGTTGTTAATTTAGAAGGTGCTTTTAAGTTTGAAAACGAAGCACTGGACATACTAAGTGAAGGCCTGCACATTTTAAACTACACTGTCTGGTTTTGGAGCACTGGCAATGGGACTCTGGGCATTTTAGATCCAGCAGACCTAGGTCCTATGTGATGAAGCCACTGTGCTATGGCAAGGACTACAGGAGAAAAGCAGATTAGAAAAAGCAGTAAGATATTCACAAGAGAAGAAGCAATTAATTGGGATCTGGGGAAGATAGATTTGGAGAACCCAAGATTTATACTCCTGCTGTTTTGAGAAGCAAAAATACTTGCATTAAAAGCAGCTTTTGGGCAAGGATCAGGACTGTTCAGAAGTTCTGGGTAATTATTGGGGGTCCCAGGACCAGCAAAGAATGAGTTCCTTTCCAGTGGAGAATCAATTACAAAATTTTCTGGGATAGACTTGAACCTTGTGTACAACTTGTTGACCCTTTACAAAAAGTAAATAAGGCCTTTGCTGTGGCTTGGACCACTACATTTTACTCAGAAGGATGCTGCAGATCAGACACTGTGGTTATATATTGTGTTAATATATATGTGTATATATATGTGGTTAATATTTCTGGGTATAGTAAGTGAAATCATCACATTCATCCCAGGTTGACTGCTCTCAGAAAAATCAGAAAGTGCATTTAGTAAGGAGAAGTCAGCTCTAGCAATATCCAAAAAAACCCTTTAAATAACCTCTAAATTGGTTTTGGAAACATTGCCGGAATGTCTTATGGAGACTGTGTCTCAGGTAATAATTCTTCCCCTGTGACTACGCCTCCTTGCCTGACTTTATCTACTACTGTGTGTCATGGTCAAAGACTTTACAGGAACATATGTGAGACACATCTCAAGTTGTTACTGTGAAACCAAGAGAAGAAAATGGTATCTTGAGACATGTGGAGTACAACTCTCACTAAGTATTACAGCATGATTTTCCAGCTGACATATTTTGGATTTCAAATTTCTTCTGCAAATTTACATCTTCTGGAATGAGAAAGAGGAAGAAGAGCATTTTTCTGGTGGGCTCATAAGTGACTGAGGCACAGTAAAATGCAAAAATAAGAAAATATTAAAAATGAATATATGTAGCAGAATTTGTATGTCAAAGGTTCTGGAGATTCAGCCCCAATCTCTATTAGAAGCTTGGGAAACTTTGCAGTTTACTGATAATCTCAGAATGACATGATAAACCCATGGCTGAAAAATTGAAAAGGCAAGAGGAAAAAAATAAAAGCAAAACCTACCAATTCGATTATTTGTGTGGTCTCTCACTCGAGAATCAGTGGGGCAATCTGGGGCATTTCCATTACTTGGTGCCATATCAGTCAGACTCAGAGGAAGACTATGTGCATTTTCTGTCCTGGAGAACAAGTTACTGTTGGTTTCCAAAGGGAGAGTTCTGTCAATTAATTTATTCTCTTCTGGACCACCGTCAGTAGTCAGTATGATCTGCTGATACAAAGAAGAGAGTAGAAGTGAGGTGAATGTAAAAACAACACTGGGAAGATTGCAGTAGGTCTATGGAATCCTTCTGTGGCAGTTAGAATAACCTGATGCACTTCGTAGCACCACTGTCACAGGGAGTAAAAATTGATTAAGGAGTTTCAGTTCCTGCATCACTTAAAGCCATATTTTAAAAAAGCGTTTCTAAACTAAATCGATGACATTTGCAAGAACGTACCTCACTTCCACTGAAATCCAGTTTCCTGGCCCTGTTTGGATGCTTTGGTAAATTCCACTACCTTGTCTGCAATTTAGACGCCCATGAACCTTTGCAAATACACCTATTTGATAATTTGACTTTTTGCCACATGTCTCCCACTGTATGCTTTGCTGCAGTCTGCTATCCTCTAATGTAGTAGCAGCTTCATTCTGAGGGGCTGAAGCTCAGCAGCACTTTTTAGCAAAGAGTATAGATTCGGTATGTTAGATGCTGGAGGTAAGAATTTTAAGGGATTTTGATATTTAGTTGTGAGATAAGCATCAGAGGACAAACCTGTACAGATGTGTAATCATATAGTGAGAGAGCCAAAACTAAAAATATATGGAATATACATGAAAATACATAACTTCCGCTTAAATTTTGCAAAGACCTACCACATTCCTACAGGAGGACAAAACAAGCCAGAGGCTGAACTGGTTGAACTTCAAAATGGAATTGCCTTAGCAGGATCTCAGGTGGGAGAAACAAGCACAGACTAGCTATTAGGTGAAGAATTAATTACAAACAGTCCTTTAAAAGAGGAGCCAGAGTCTGAGAGAGGCTGAAGGTCCCACATGACAGACTTCTGGTGGCTCCTAGCTCTGTTTCTGTTTCCACAAGGAAGATTTTTAAATGTGCAATTTAAAACTCTTGCTCATGTCTGACTCACTATGAAAGCAAGAGTGGAAGCTCCCCACAATTCAGGAATTAGCAATGACACAGTGAAATTAATGATATCTGATTGCAACCAGATCTATTAGAATAAGTAAGGTTTTTTGTTTGCAGGTGCACAACATTTAAAAGCAAACTGATGTAAAAACAAAAAAAAATGAACAGTCTGAAAAGTGTTTTAGCAGATAGGGACATTCAGAGACAGCAAGCCTAAAAACTGAGAAGACTCAGAAGATGAAAGTTGCTGTAATTTCACTGAAAGTGGAGGAATCAGAGCTGTGATGATTTCAGCAACTGGGGAACTGCATTCCATTGTTACCATATTAACTGAGGTTTGTCTTGTTCATCTGCAAACCATACTGTTAAGCCAGAAGCTGGTCCTGATGGAAAGTCTTCCAGACAAACAATACCCACTGTGTGCCCTCATTATAGTCATGCCAAATCCTACAAAGAGGGAAGGTGACATGAGGGGAGACAAAAGATCAAATCCCACTTGTATGACTGGAGTAAGATAAAACGGGGCTGAGAGACAAAGTTATCCAAGGAGGTAGAATGATCCTATGATTTTGGATTTGCCCCATAGAACCCAACATGAATAGTGTTAAGACCAAACCAAATACTCCCCTCACAAGCAAGGCTTGAGGCATCACATTATTTAACAACACATCAAACATAGGCCAAGACATGAAAGTAGCAAACCCCAGCACATCCCATCGCTGCATCTATCATGCGTTGTTGAGGAAAGGCCATCCCTTTTTAACTGGACATTTAAAAATATCATTTACATTGGAAAGGAAAGGGATCTAGTTTGGAATATTGTTCACACTTACTGTATGTTTGTTCACTAGATCGTGACCTGCAATGGAAAGAGGAAAAATTATCAGGAGAAAATTCACAGCTCTCACAGGAATGTGAATAGTTGCCCTGAAAGGTCACCAAGCCATGTCCTAAACCACTCTGCTGCCCAACCCTCCTGCATTAGGCTCTCATTACCACTCAGGGCACACTTACATGGCACTGCTGAGGTGAACCAGCAACATGTTGCTGCCAGGACTCTGAGGTCCTGCTCTCCCCAAAACCCTCTGTGGCCACCCCTGTCATTCTCCCCACATCACAACTGGTGTTCATCTAATGAAGTGATGAACTGATTAAACTTTCTAGGTAAGCAGAAGACAGACTTTTTCTTTTTTTTTAATTAAAAATGTTAATAACTTTTACTGAATGAGCAAGTTAGATCAGTTCATCATGTGGTCAAGATGAATGCTAAGGATTAAGGGGATAATGGGATTTTATGCAAGGACTGAGGAAGGTAACACTGGAAATGAGAAGAAAGGAGTGTGCAGCATCCTTCTGTAGCACCATGCAATTAGATGGGCTCAGGCTTACTATTTAATTTCACCCTGACCTGCAGACACCTTTATTTTCAAGGCATCTATAATGCCGCACAGCAACAGTTCCTATTATAAAAGCAAAGTGAAGAAACAAAAATTCCATTTTGAGAAAATTAAGCTGCACACAAAAGGTTTTAAATTTTATTCCTGCATAAATGAGTGTATAAAGCTCTGCTGTATGGTAATTAGGAGAATCTACCACAACAGAAGAGAATAGATCAGTCAGTGAAAATGGAAATGCTGAGATAGGAATTAGTTAATTGGGCAAAATGTGTGCGCTACAGGGGAGCAATAGAGGTTGCTGCTGCCAACACCCACTCTTTTTGGAACGCATATGAGTGAGTGCTCAGGCATTAACGAGGCGTTTTTCCAGTAAGCCTCCGTGCACTGACGCGTGGCTCAACCGTTCAGTGGGAAAAAAGTGCCACCTAGTGACCTGTCAAGGCATCACCTGCCTGCGCTGGGCACACAACAGGACTGGCCTTTTGCATGTCAGCAGAGACGTACACTTGACATTGAAAAGTTTCCCTTATTAAATAAATAAATAAAAAAATCCATAAAATAAAGATCCATATTAAAACTATCCACTTATTCTTTAGACATAAAGATTAAAATTCCTGGTCCATCAGTCACCTTGAGGTTTGAGCCTGGATTTGCAGGAAGGGATGGAATGCAGATGTGCTGGTCAAAAGAAACTATTCATTAGTAAAACTCATCATGGACTGTACAGGCTCTAACAGCTTTATAGGTCTACAACCAACCTACATCATGCACATCCTCCTCTCTATAAAAGAGGGAATGTGGTTCTGCAAGCACAACCCATACATAAGTTTAGGCAAAGCTACCGGAAAACAGCATCAGTAAAAATCACTCTTCCTCTCATGCCCAAAGTTCAACCTCATCTGCAGAACCAACAAATACAAAACACTTCAGGTATCATTTACTATTAGAGTCTGTGCTAGGAAAAAAAAAAACATTGGTTACCCTTTCCCCACCTGGCTTGTAGTATCTTCCTCCATAAATTCACAGCTGCTTCCATCTTTCTCTCATGTTCTCCAACATCAACAGTTTGCCTAGGAACCTTATCTTGCCCACGCACACTAGGTGGTAGTGAACATTCCCTTACCCAACATTTTGGGATATTTGAATTCCCAGTTGGCGTATACTTGGAGATCAAACAGGAAACAGCTTTAAAAACTCACGCTTTCCTTTGAGGATGAAGATCTGCTGCTTGCAAATTTTCCATTTCCAAAATGACAGCATACCCAAAAGTAGCACCATCACAGAGAGAACCACTCCCCAGAGAACTAGACCTGTAGCACAGAAAGGGAAAGGGATTACAGGAAAGGCTAAGAGAAGGCAGACTGGGAACTATCAGCAGATCTATGTGTTTGGACATAGACCCATGGATATCATTTCACAAGTTGTAGGGAATTTGAAGGAAGCTCCCACATAAAAATTGCCTTTACCAAAGATATATCCAAATAAAATATGCTAGACAGAGTAAATGCTTTATCTTTGTTACCTTCCATTGTTGTCTCCCCCTTGACTGAGGTGGGAAAGGTGGCAGCTGAAGCTTTCTCTTCAGCAGTTGTATTGGGGTTTTCAGTTGCTGTGGCACTTAAAAGGATACCAGTGATGGTCACCAGACTCTCTTCAAACCTTTTTAGGTCAGAGTTATTTGTTTCATTGTTGAACCTCATGGACAATGTGTTTGGGGTAAGATAGGTGGGCGATTGGTCCAGGCAAACCTGGTCGTGTGTTGCATTTCCTTTGCTTAACACGACTTTGTTTAACTTGGCACAGCTAGGGAATGAAAGAGAACAGTGTATCAGCACTAGAGGAAACTGACGTAGTACAAGGTAAGAGTATCTCCCATGCGACAAACATGCGCAACAGGTATGAAGAGGCCTTCCAAGTGCTGCACATAGGCCAAAAGTTATACCATTGCCTCTGAGATAAATGGGTCGGCTTGCAGCAGAAGCAATGAGTGTCCCTTTTTGTCGTTTATGAACTTAGCTAGTCATGCTAAAGAGCTATGGACTTACTTTGTGTGGGGCTTGCAGATGTCAGTGCTGGAATTTTCATCAGAGAAGGTCCCAGAAGGGCACTCTTCACAAGTAACATCATTTGTTGAGGTGCCTGAATAAAAGTAATGACTGAAGACTGACCCACCAAAATGCATCAGGTCCAGGCCTATGGCCAAGCTCAGGAAAGGTAAGCTGGACCACAGGAATTCCTACCTCTGACTTTGACTCCAAAACCAGGCTTGCAGAAAGTGTGCTGCTGGCATCTTATGCAGGTGTTCAGAACAGGGGTCTGGCAGAACAGGCCTGGTCGGCACTCACACACACGGCTAGAATTGAAGGAGCAGGGCTCTTTCTCCACAAGGTCAGGCTCTGTGGGGAAGAATCAGATGTGATAACAAAGGATCAAGCTGCAAAGAAAATGTAAAGCAGGGGCCAAAGCCAAAGCCAAACCCAACATCAGTTCAAAGGCTCAGGAAGCAGAACAGGCTGCTGGCACTCTTCACAATGACAGCTTAAGTCATGAACTGGAAAAGGCTGTAGATAATGGCTTGTAATATAAGGCAGAAAGCAGAAATCAGGCTTGGATAGCATTGGATGAGAGAATTTTTAGGTAGACCCAGGTCACACAGGAAGCAACCCTGATTATGTGCCAGGTAGAATTCTGCTGTCTAAACCAGTAACCAAGGATGGATAATTTTGCTGCTGGAAATTCAGAATGAATAAAGTATAAATAAAGTGTGAATAAAATATATATAGAAAATATAACTGTGAGGTATGTGTGAGGGAAAGCAAACCTTTTGTGCATGATACACAAGCATCACATCTTGGCTTTTGAAATGCTTCATTCACATACTGTTCAGGTCCACACCTCATGCAGTCTTCACCTGGGTCCCTAGGACATGCTTTCTTCTTAACATAGCCTGGAGAAAGAAAAGAAAATCAAAATATACGGGACACCAATTCAGAATACCAGGAGACAATCATCCTGCAGTTTTCTTGTATACTCATTCACTTGTTAGACACAGTCTTCTCTTTGTATGTGTCTTGGTTTCTCTAGGAGGGTTTTGCCTTTCCCATTCAAGTGTGAAGGGATCACAGCTGTCCTGTTTCAGCAACACTGTGCATGGTGTTATCACAATCAGTATGGATTGCTGTAGGAAGGACACATGGCAAGGCTGTGGTGACGGCAATATTGACCTGCCATTACTTTCACATGTAATTGTTTCCATGTTTTCCTCTTGACTAGAGCAACCCAGTCCTGATAATTGCTACCTAAACCATCACTTTCCCTTCAAAAGTTGCCAGAATCACCTAGGTGCATGTGGATTCAAGCAGGGATAACCCCACCTCCCACGTTCAGAATGGAAGGTTACACGATGGTGCTCCCTGAGCCATGTTCTGTATCTCCCTAGCAGGTTTGCAGTAGTTGCTTTCTAAGCAGCCCTTCTAGTTTTACAATTGCCTTGACAGTTGTGAGATGGTTTAATTTTCCAACTGTTTTCCTTAAACAAATCAAATTACATGTATGTCTTTCTGATGCTAGTGTATCTCTGCTGAACATATCCAACTCCTCTGGACCCATTGCTCACTGAAAGCACAGTGCTCAGGATCTCACAGACCTTCTGTGAACATGCAGCACACAGGAGATTGGGCAGCTGGCTGAATTAGATGACCTCTGGAGGTCTTTGCCAAACTTAAGCTATTCTATGTCTCTATGACTCTGTGCTTGTATCGGGTAATCATTTTCTAATGAAGAGCTTTTAAAAGCATCCATCTGGGAAGCTACGTACAATAGCAGCTAGGAGTATGGGAAAGGCTGGGACAGAAGCATTCCCAACATTTCAGCTCCTGAAGCAACAGATGAGGTATTCTACCACTGGACATAGTACCAAAGAAATTAGAAGGTGTAGTGGTAAGCTGTGACCTTGTGGCCTTGCCAGGAAGTAGAAACAACAGAGGGTAAGAAAGAGCAGCAGTTGCAAAGCAAAAGAAAAGCTAAAGTAACAACATAAAGATAGGAAGAGATGAATGTTTCACAGGTGGGAAACAGGTGAGAAATGAACTACAGTTTCAGCATGCAGCCTGCATCACCCAGTCATAGAGTTAACCACAGGGAGGGAGAACCTAGCAAGGCAATAACTCACTTGGTATGCAGTTTGGCAAGCATGATGTAGTAGTGCAGGTAAAAACAGCCATGCTATATTTGGCCCACTAAATACCACCAGACAAGCCTGAACCACATCACTCCTGCCTCCTCCAAACTACTTGTCTGAGACTGTTCTTTTCAAGGTGACAGCTGATTGCCAAATCTCAGCACTCAAGCTGCACATATGTACCTGCACGTGTGTCATTTCCCCCTTCCTTCCCCAGTGACCCAAACCCTTTAACTTCAGTTATTTGAGATTTCCTGTACACATGGGTCCCTCTTTTGGGGGATGTATGCCCCAGGTGCAGTAGCTTTGAAGGTTGCATAACAGTGTCTCATGGTTCTGATCTCCACTGGCTGTGTTCACAGCTCAACAACCAGATAAAAGTCACCAGCTGCAATCACCTGTACAGAAAAATGTCCTGAAAGTAAGTAGATGAAATAAGTATTTGAAGTTTTTCTTTTATGAGTACATGCATTCATTCACTCCTGAGGATTTGCTGTTTACTGTGGGTAGGAAACTATCTTGAGTGTTGATTGCAGCACTGTCTCATTGGGATGAATATCTGATTTAGAGCCTAAACAAAAAAAAAAACAAACAAAAACCAACAAAAAACAAAACAAAGCCACCAGAAAAACCAACTGAACAAAAAAGGTTAAAAAGTCACAAACAGAAGTGAAGTGGAATAACAACTTCTGCATAACATGAGCTGTTCCAGCATATACCGTTATTTCCCATGAAAGTCTCTGTTGCTCCCCTTGACAGGAGGGAAATACTTTGTTCTGCAGTGACAGAAAGAAACTATTCTTCTGGTATCCCGGGTATGAAGTGTCATTTTACCTGCACAAGAATTAAGTACATGAGAAAAGATGTGGCAGCTGTGGAAATTGATTAGAATGATCTTTTGAGGTTTGGTTTGAAGTTTATCTTGAAATTAACTTTGCAACAGAGGATGGCTTGCATGTGGGCCAGTGTGTTCAGACTGAAGGCTGTACATCTGTGAGCTGGAAGACCAAGGAAAGTAAAGGCAGGGCGCATCTAGAGTTCAAGATGTTGCACTTTGATTAAATAGAATTTTAGAAAAGCTTCTATTTCTTTGCAGTGAGCAGTAGTAGCAGATATGAACAGGTTATTGCTTGAAGGAGTCATACAAGATTAAAATGAAATAGGATTCTTACGGGTTTCTGTTGTGAATGAAGTCCTGGAGGATGGGAAGAGATGTCCAAGACTGATATGAGGATGTGGTAACAAAATGAGTTGCAAGAATAAGCAGAGTTGAAGTGATTGAGACTGGTGGCTTGCTACAGCCAGATATAAACCAGATACCTGCTTTTCACAAGACCTCACTATGACGTCTGTCATTATGGGAGCTTGTGCAAAGTATGGTTTTAAAGGAGAAAAGAGCTTTTCATGGGAGTGACTCAGAGACAGATTCCCACCTCTTTTCTTCTTTTACAGCACCAGTTTCTCCATCCCTTGTCTTACCTACTTTTACAGATTCTGAATGAATCTAGTGGTGTGGCCAGCAGCACAAGATATTCCAGTGGGAACCTCAGTGTAATTGCATGCAAATAATAGCAACTGAGAGCTAAAGCCCTCTTTATCATTAGTGTGCAAATGAATGTCAAAACTTTCCTCTGGAAAAAGAAAAAGATTTCTATAAGAGATTGATGATGGTAAAGTACCTTGAAATGCCCCACCCACTGAGGGGGTTTTAGGCTGATGCGGGTTGTTTCAGGCATTTCCATAAGTCTTGTCTCACTGAGGTGTTTCCTGCTTTTTACCCTGTGTGCATGAGTCACAACCAGCTTCCGGCAAAGCTCACTGTGTCTCCTCGCAAGGGGCTGTTCCCTTTCTCATGTGAGACACTTTCTAAACTGTTTTGACTATGAAGATAATGACAGATTTTCCACACCTTGATGTTGGTTTGTTGTTGTTCTTTTTTTTTTTTCTCTGATCAGAAACATATTTAGCCTAAATTCACTGTGCTATTTCATACCCTGAGGCAAGCTAAAATGAATTCTTAGATCTGCCTACTTCTCCCTACTTCAGAGTGTCAAGTCAATGGATAAACACACAAAAAAATTTAGTAAATTATTTTGCTTGCAATTTGCAGTCTGAAAAGGAGCAAGGCAGATAAAAGCAAGTTCACATCTGAACCCACACTAGGTATTGGTTCCTAGAACTGCACTTATCTTGAAGGACAAAATGTAACTGAGCAGATACACATGGTTCCTACTATCTCTATGAGAAAGGCTCCATGTTAATTTGACTGAATTATAAACATACTGACCTGAGGGACACTGGTAACAGCAGCTTCTTGAAGTTTCATCATAGAACCAATTCATAAGTGCATCACAGGAATGAGATGGAGTTAATGATGTCTAGAAATTGAGAGAGACAAAAGACACAATTAGAAAACCATTAGTTCTGTATTAGAGCAGATCGCAGTATCTGTGTCAAGTTATGGTAGTTGCAGGCAGTAAGGAAATGCCTACAGCTCTCTGAAAGTTCAAGTATCCTGAAAGAAACTAAATTACTGTTGCCCATATGCTTAAGCAAAGATTGCAATATTCTGTGTATTTAACAATAATTCAATATGTAGCTTCACTCAGCAGACTCTTTTGTCTGAAAGTCATTTAAATGTAGGAAAGGAATTGTAGAATCGTAGAATCCCAGACTGGTTTGTGTTGGAAGGGACCTAAAGCTCATTCAGTTCCAACCCCTGCCACTGGCAGGGACACCCTCCACTAGAGCAGGTTGCTACAAGCCCATCCAGCCTGGCCTTGAGCACTGCCAGGGATGGGGCAGTCACAGTTTCTCTGGGCACCCTGTGCAAACACCTCAGCACCCTCATTTTCTTCTGGCAGGGTGTCCTGGGTTTAGCAGTAGCAGTCAATTTTTCTTTCTTGGTAGCTGGTGCAGCGCTGTGTTTTGACTTCCAGCCTGGGAACAGTGCTGATAACACCAATGTTTTCCGTTGTTGCTAAGTGATGTTTACCCTGACCAAGGACTTTGTGAGGCTCATGCTCTGCCAGGGAGGAGGGGAAGCCGGGAGGAAGCAGAGACGGGGCGCCTGACCCAGGCTAGCCAAAGAGGTATTCCATACCACAGCACGTCATGCCTGGGGTGGGAGGGGTAACTGGGAGTTACTCAGAACAACATGGGCTTCTTGGTTGGACTCGTTTCTTGGCGGGTGGTATCGTATTCTCTTCCCTTGTTATTTTCTCTTATCATTGTTGTAGTTGATAGTAGCGGTGGTGATTTGTGTTGTACATAGGTTGCTGGACTGTTCTTGTCTTAACACGTGGGAGTTGCACTCTTTTGATCCTCCTCCCCATCCCTCCGGGAGCGGGGAAGGGGAGAGCCCCGGCGGGGGGGGGGGCTCGATTGCTTTCAGCCCAGCACCACTCACTGGGAGTGAGTGAACAAGCTGTCTGGCTAGGGTTTAAACCACAACACAGGGCCACTGCATGCTCTGGGAAATTACAGCACTACAAATTTACTGATAAGAAAATTTGATTTTTTAATTTGACATGTCCCTTAATAATCCCCTAGAAATGTTATCAGAATTTTCTGTATTTGCTAGAAGGTTTATACGGCACTTTTTAATAAAGACTCAATAAGCACATTCTTCAGAGATTTTCCCACGATACTGGTAAAGCAGTTAATATTTCAGAAAAACTTGCATCTCAGTTTCTGTAGATGAATTTCCCATTGGCCTTTGAAATAATACCTATTGTCTCGTGCTGCTTTTGCATGCAGTGCAACTGCCTCACTAAGTTCACAGCTGTGTTTTCCTGTTTAATACACTGTTCTTTTCATGACAGGGCCATAAAACACAAAAGTTATTCAGTTTGCTCCAGGTTACATCAGAAATCAGGAACTTTTTGTCAAGGACAAAATTAACATAAGGACAAGAAATAGAAATGTACAAACCCCATTAAATTTTATCAAGCTCCAGGTTTGTATTGGGACCAGCATTGTGGCAGGGGATTGGAACTGGATGAGCTTTAAGGTTCCTTATAACCCAAACCAGACTGTGATCCTACAATAAAACTGAGAAATCCTGCCTGACATCTCCGCAGTAACCACCGGGTCACAGAGCCTCTCCACAAAGCGCTTTTTCTAGCTTACTCTATAGAGGAAATAGCAGATCTTTGCTTGCTCAGCCTGACTCAGGTTTATAAATGTGCACCCTGTGGTGTTGTTTCTTTTTGTTTGATTTTCTTTTTTGGTTTTTTTTTTTTTTTTTTTCTGAGGAGAAAGCCCTGGGCTGTAGGAAAAGGAAGTGGAATCTCCTTTCATCTGTGTGGAGGAGCACTCTGTTTAGCCAGCCACTCTGAGACTAAACTGAGTAACAGGAAACAACACAGTGAGATCAGTCACTAGACAAACAGTCATTCAGGAGTGAATTCAGTGATGTGAAGTGAAGCAAGCAGTTTTATAAAAAAAACTCAAGAATCAACAGCATCCTGGCTGTAGCTAAGTCAATCTGGATTATCTTCTCTGTAAGAGCTATGGGAAATCACCACAAAACCTTGATCTTCCCTTCTTGGTTCTCCTGGGCAACCAGCTGGCTGTGAATTCTGTTGAATTTTAAATTGGGGAGGGGGGGAACAATATTCTTAAATGATTTATGCAGCACATAAACTTACAGCTTATACTTGTACCTTTTGAGATTGAAAAGAATAGTGTAAAAAGTGGGAGGGAAGGGCTGCTTTTTAGAAAGTCAACCTTGTCTAAACCACTGAAATCAGGAATTTAGGATTAGATTCTTCTCTTAGTTACAGCAATGCAGATTCTGATTATGAATTTGACCTAATGCTAGTGCTGTGGTAAATTAATGTGTGAACCGTGCACACATACTACACAAATTATGAAAATACACATCCAAAAGGGTACTCAACCTTTTTTTTTTTCCCCTTTCCACAAGAGGGCTGCTATGTACTACAGCCAGCTACATAATACATGACATCCACAGCTTCACAACAAATGTTCCCTTCAAGTATCCAGTTCAAGCACAAGCTTGTAGCCACTTTTACTGTTTTGATGAGTCGAGCCCAAGGTGCTCTGCTGTAAAAAGAAGTAATTTTAACAAATCATGACATAATTTCTATGACTGAGGAGCCACTTTCTGAAGACCCTGCTACTTCTAACGCGTAGCTACCTGCAAAATGTCTTTACCAGCTGCCATCTGTTCAGTAGAGGTGTTTCATGAGTATGAAACCTCCTATAGAGCCTTTCAGCTACAAATAATGTACATATCAATGCTCAGTGTCAGTTATCATCTCCCTGTTCTTGTCATTCCGCCCCCTTTAAATCCTATGTTGTTGGATTCCTAATGTGACCTGCAATAGCAATGCAGTGTTGCAAAGTTCTGCTCTTAAACTAAGCAGAGAGTAGGCTCTTTGTAGAAAGCACACTTGAAGGTGAGGCCCTGAGTATAAACCAAGCTCCCACACCTCTAGCACTTCAGGCTTAAAGGGTCAATATAAACTACATAAGCAATACTGGGGAAGCTTTGCTTATGCGTGGGAAGGCCAGTGTCACTAAAAAATTAAATGGGCTTTGCTTCTTAACGTATGCAAGGCATTTTGTAAACTAAATTTCAAGTTTTTATGCATCTGGAATAAAAAGAGCTTGCACTAGGAACCCAGCAAAACTTCCATGAGTTTTTTGGGTCATGAAACAAATCGGTGCCTTAAGACAAAGAACATGACCTGGAGAAACAGCAGAGGTGAAAGGCCATAGTCTCACAATGTTTTAAGTCTTCCATGAGATGGTGGTGCCAACTCATTTTCTTTTAGGAAAAGGATGAATGAAAATACACACAAGGGTAATGTAGTTTTAATTTTTCTGTCTCTGTGTAATGAATATCAGGGTAATAATGAAAAAAAAAAGATAACCAGCCAAAGACTTGAAGTGAAAAAGGAACAAAAATGTGCATTATTAGTGGGTAGCAAAAGGTCTGAACTGAGGTAATTCAACCACTCAATGACTGAATATGTGAATGGAAGGATACAGGCTCTTCGGGAAAGACAGGCTGGAGAGATAAGGATTGGGGTTGGAGGTGAATGATTTTTAAGGTCCCTTCCAACCCATTCAATGATTCTATGATTCTCTCAGTTTACCACCTGTAACTACTCTTCCCACATGTCAAATACCTCCTCTGATATTTCACCTACAACTAGGGTGCTCAGGAAGAGATCACTGGAAACAATTCAGCAAGAAACACAGGGAATTCTGGATTTCATGTTTTCAAGACTTTTTTGTTTCACAGCTGTTGCCTTTCTAACAGTAGAAATCTAGACATCAACCAGCAAATCCATCCAAATTTGGAGGGACTGCAAAATCTTCATGCATATTTGTCTTGCTCTTCCTGGACAGAATGACAACTTATTGCTGGAGTTACAAAACACTTTAATGCTGATTAACCAATACTGTTAAAAAGTGAAAAATATTTCAGTGGCTTGGCCAAAAAAAAAAGAAAAATCATTATATTTGCACATATTTATGGAAGCAACATATGTACATAACTTCTCAGAAACTGGGGTTATTGAACCAACATATCTACTTTCAATAGCAGCTTCTCATTCCTATGTAGTGGTAAGGCTACTACAAACTGCAGCTGGAACACAGTCTGGATCTCTGTTACTTGTGGAGACAGTGTTCTCACGGGAGAATGCAAAATTAGTACATAAACTCTGAGTAATCCTGAAAGATACAGCAAGGCCATGAGAGGCCCGAAGAAGCTTAAGCAAGCAAGATAAGAAGAAGCTGGAATTCACTGAGTTAATGAGAACTGTGGACTGTTGGCAAGCTTTCGAGGTCAAGTTCTCACACCTGTGCTTAACCAATTATATGTTAGTCACTAAGGGTCTTCAAGACATGTATCCAATCATAATATGCCAAATCACTGTAAGTATATGTAAGAAATAGTATATAAGGGGTTAAGGCTTTGTAATAAATTTGGCAATCGCTTGATCACATTGATCGTCTCTGTGTTGTCCGTGACTCCCACATCAACAGTTCCTCACCTGGTAATATCAAAATGAGTTGGGTGAACTCCTGTAGTTTGAGTAGTCCAGTACTGAGCTTGGACTTCCAGGCTCAAATCTAAACTGACAGCAACATGACAGTGAGGCCACCAGAAGGGTGAGAGCAGGAAAAGGTCCCTGTAGCTTAATGTTCAAGCTTAATATTCAAGGTTAGTGGTTCCATTGCTAGCTCTGAATGGGGTCTAATGGCAATCTACTGGGTTCTTTTGTGGCGGTACCACCACAGAAACCAGATAGGCTCTATAGGGGCATACAGGGCATGCTGCCTCTTCAGTCCCACTGGGTCCTCAGTTTCAGATTTGCTTGTTTTACCAAATCTTGTC